TAAAGCCAAGTATATCAGTACTCCTCATATCCTTTCCAGAAATACACCAAGGACAAGCCCAGTCCAGTCCTCGACCTCTATGTACTTACTGCTCCTGGATGCTCAGCCAAAGAAGTAATGCTGGGAACTGAAGGGCCTTCAGGCTCTTGGGGAACAGTTTGCTTTTTAAAAAATAAACAACAGAACACACAAAGAGGAAATGAGGCAAAGAGAGCGTGCTGTAGAAAAAGCTGAATGTTCCTGAAATACCTGATTGTAATTCACAACAGCTGCAGCATTTACCTTGCCCTCGTCCATCACCTTAGAAGGGGAAGAGCTTCTTGAGTTGCTGTTCATCACGGCAGCTGCACCAGATCCTGGGTCTGTCAAAGGCCAGAGTACTTATTTAGACTTATTTTGATTGCACACTGTGAAAAAATCCTCCACTCACCTTCCACCATGACTTTAGACTCTTTGAAAACACTTCGGTCCCTTTTCAGAGGCAGAGGGTTTCCCAGACACCTCAGAAGACCATTGAGGATGAGACAGAGGCCCACCCACTGACCCTTGAGAAAAAGATAACTGAGACCTTGAATGTATTTTTTTCAGAAGAAATAAACCAATTTTGGACAGATCTGGGATCAACTCTACCTAGAAAGCGGCATTAAAAATGGGTCTCCCAATACAATTAAGGGAAATCACTTGTAATTTATGCATGGGGTTAAAGAATTAAAATAAGAACTGTTGTGGATTGAAATAACAGCAATAAACCCTGCACATTAGTAGCACTGGTCCTGTACTTCATTTAAGCTTGATATAATTCTATAGGCTGATTTTTTCAATATATAATCTGACTTCAATATCTTACCTAGCATTATAGACATATTTAGGATTTTTAAAACAAACTTACAGTATTTCAGATTATAGTGCTGATATATAGAAGTATATATGCTGCATAAACTATAAAGTTTTAAGGCTAGTTTTATAATATTCAGGAGAGGAACCTCACATTTAAAGATAAAGGGTTATACTTCTCAGTAAAAAGTTAAAAGAAACAAAAAACAAGAAAAGGACCTCCACAGAAATAAGAAGTAAATGCTTTCTGTTCTAAAGCAGATCTTGCAGTAGACTATCCACCAAGACAAATGAAGAAATTTGCTTGTGTCTACTGGAAAGACCCAAATTCTATAATGTTATTTGCATTAGAAATCTTGAATAAGAGGGAAAGAGCACTTTCCAACAGTTTATTCCAGGGTCACATGTGAATGCTCACCNTACCAGAGGCAGAGGGTTTCCCAGACACCTCAGAAGACCATTGAGGATGAGACAGAGGCCTATCCACTGACCCTTGAGAAAAAGATAACTGAGCCCTTGAATGGATTTTTTTCAGAAGAAATAAACCAATTGTGGACAGACCTGGGTTCAACTCTACCTAGAAAGCAGCATTAAAAATGGGTCACCCAATACAATTAAGGGAAATTACTTGTAATTCATGCACGGGCTTAAAGAATTAAAATAAGAACTGTTGTGGATTGAAATAACAGCAATAAACC